ATTAATGGATTATAAAAACAGAAACAATCTATACTACAATATACATTTTTAAAAAGTATTACAATAAATAAATGTAACATTGTAATAATATAATAATAGAAAAAATAAATAATAATAATAGGTATTTTTTTTTATAAATGATAATAAATAAATATATATTAAATTTATAAAGTTGTTTTTATTATTAATGGCAATTTTAAGGAAATGTTGTTTATAATAAGGGATTTTAATTATGAATCTCTAAAACAGAAACAACCCTCATTAAATATGTGTTTAAATATATACATAAATTGTTATTATTATTATTATTATTATTATTGACAATTTTATGGAAATATTTAGTTTATTTCAAGGGATTTTAATGATTTTTTATATATATATATATATCTATATATATATATATATATATATATATATATATATATATATATATATATATATAAATATACACACACACACACACACACACATATATACACAGACACACACAATTTTTATGTGGATTGAAATATCTATGCAAAAAAAAAGTTTCATGTTTTTATGTGCAGTATTTGTGTGTATTACATATTTAATGAATTTATATAATACACACACATCAAATGTTTGTCTTTTTTAAGTCTTTAAAGTTTAAAAGTCTTGTAATTACTTCCAGTAACACTCCAGGTGTTTTCCAATAAGAGGTTAAAAGATTATCACTGATGGGCGGAGCTTCTGACAGTCAGTGGGTGGACAGATGAGCACACGGAGGCGGAGCTACGGACAGATGAGCACACAGAGGCGGAGCTATGGACAGATGAGCACACAGGGGCGGAGCTTGATGGTTGGTCATTGATCAGACAGACACCGGCAGGACTGGAGGTATGTCACACATGTCTCCACACACACACTCACACACACCTCTTCATGTGCTCTGCTGCGGTCACCGCTGGTGGTGTGGTGATGTCCTGATGCTGTTTTTGTGTGTCTTCAACTTTCAGTGAGGTTTTGTGTGTGTGTTTTATGTGCTTTTTAAGGGTTTGAAAGTTGTCAGTGTTTCAGACAAATTGTGTGTGTGTGTGTGTGTGTGTGTGTGTGTGTGTGTGTTTCATTTTTATTTGTGTTTCATCTGGTCATGGCAGTTGTGCTTGTTGGAATAGGCTCATTTTAACGGCTCTTATCAAACACACACACTTCTGGCTCGGGCAGATGTGTGTGCGTATGTGTGTGTCCTTGGTTCTGTCTGCGTGTGTGTGTGTGTGTGTGTTTGTTTTAGAAATCAATATGCACAGCAGGAGAGTAAATAAATCCTCAAAGCCCGCAGTGGTTTAGTTTGTGTTGGGGGTTTGTGTTTGTATGAATATTAATTAATTTAATTATTATTCATAAGGGTGATGCGGTGGCGCAGTAGATAGTGCTGCCGCCTCACAGCAAGAAGGTCGCTGGTTCGAGTCCCTGTGGAGATTGGCGTTTCTGCATGGAGTTTACATGTTCTCCCCGTGTTGGCGTGGGTTTCCTCCGGGTGCTCCGGTTTCCCCCACAGACCAAACACATGCGCTATAGGGGAATCAGGTAGACTAAATTGTCCGTAGTGTATGAGTGGGAATGAGTGAGTGTGGGTGTTTCCCAGTGATGGCAACTGGAAGGGCATCCGCTGTGTAAAACATATGTGTCTTTGAAGGAGTGAGTGTTTGCACATAAGGGTGTGTGAGTGAGTGAGTGAGTGAGTGAGTGTGCACATGATGGTGTGTGTGTCTGTCTGTCTGTCTGTCTGTCTGTAGGTGAATGTGTGCATGTGTATGTGTGAGAGTGAATGTGTGTGTGTGTGTCGGAGAGAGAGAGAGGGGTGTGTCCCAGTGGTTTATCTGCACTGACCAGCAGAGATAGACAGACAGAAGAGCAGAGAGAGAGACAGGATATGATGTCGTCATCAGCAGTGGCACCGGGAATGATGGGAAATGAGCTCAGTGCCACTCAGTGTTGCGTCAGTTCTGTTGATCTTCATTGATCCACAGAAACACACACTGGAAATTTACGTGTGTGTGTGTGTGTGTGTGTGTGTGTGTGTGTGTGTGTGTGTGTGTGTATAACAGGTGTTGAAGGATGATGGACTCGGTCACAGGACTGATTGCTGGGGTAAGACATGCGTTCATTCACTTAATTATTTACTCATTTATTCATCCAATCACTCTCACTTATTCATTCACTCAATCATTTACTCCCTCGTTTATTAATTACATTCATTTTCACTCATTCACTAACTTACTTATTCATTCACTTCATAATTCACTCACTAATTCACTTATTTACTCACTAATTCATTCACTATTTCACTTATTCAATCATTCACTCACTCTCTCTAATTCACGCACTCCATCACTAATTGATGCATTCACTCACTACCTCATTCAACCACTCATTCATCCAGTCACTCTTTCATTCATCACTCATTCATTTATTCTTTCACTCACTCACTAATTCACTCATTCACTAATTCACTCTCATTCACTCACTCACTAATTGCCTCATTCACTATTTCACTTTTATTCACTCACTCACTCATTCACTCATTCACTAATTAAATAATTTACTCTCATTCACCCACTCACTAATTCGCTCACTTATTCTCTAATCCACTCACTAATTCACTTATTCACTAATTCACTTTCAATCACTCACTCACTCACTAATTCACTCATTCACTAATTTGCTAATTCACTCTCATTTACTCACTCACTAATTCACTCACTAATTCACTTATTTACTCACCCATTCACTCACTAATTCACTCACTCATTCACTCACTAATTCACTTGTTCACTCAATCACTAACTCACTCATTAACGCACTTGTTCACCCACCCATTCACTCACTTACTAACTCTCACTTGCTCATTAATTCATAAATTTTTGCACTCACTCACTAATTCAGTCACCCATTCACACATTCATTTACTCACACACTTATTAACTGACTTATTCACTCACTAACTCTCACTCACTCACTTGCTTAATAATTCATTCATACTTTTTCTTAGTCACAAATTCACTTAGTCACTAATTCACTCCTTCACTCACCCATTTACTTACTGATTCACTCATTTACTCACTCACCTATCGACTCTTTCACTCACTCACTAACTCTCACTCACTTGCTCATTAATTCATTCATTCTTTCACTCACTCACTAATTCACTCATTCACTCACCTATTCACTCACTCATTCACTCACTGACTTGCTAACTGGCTCATTTATTCTTTCACCCACTCATTCAATCACTCACTAATTAATTCACTCACTCACTAATTCACTCACTCACTAATTCACTTATTCACTCACTAATTCACTCACTAATTCACTTATTCACTCACTAATTCACTCACTCACTAATTCACTTATTCACTCGTTCACTCACCCATTTACTCACTCACTAACACTCACTCGCTCATTAATCCATTAATTCTTTCACTCACTAATTCACTCATTCACTCACTAACACTCACTCGTTCATTAATCCATTTATTCTTTTAGTCACTTACTAATTTACTCACTCATTCACTCACTCACTTACTAATTGACTTACACACTAACTCAACCATTCATTCATTTATTCATTCATTCATTCCTTCATTCATTCATTCACTCACCTGTTAATTTGTTCATTCTTTCAATCAATCTCTAATTCCTTAACTCACTCACTAATTCACTCTCTCATTCACTCACTCACTAATTCACTCATTCACTCACGCATTTCCTCACTCATTCACTCACTCACTCGTTCATTTATTCATGCACTAATTCATTCACTCACTCACTAATCCACTCACTTGGTCACTCACCCATTCACTCATCCATTCTCTCACGAATTTACTTGCTCATTCACTCACTCAACAATCCATTCATTCTTCACTCACTCATTCACTTACTCAACAATTAATGCATTCATTTATTCATCTCTAAATGACTCTAGGCTGTATTGGACTGACAGGAACATAAAGCAAAGACTGCCTTTCCAACTTGACACCTTTACATTCACATTTGAGCTGTGTTAAAGCTCTAGTTTAATTGAAAATTACTCAGTCAGTGAGTGGTGATGACATTTGGAGCGCTGATCATGTGGTTGGCAGACATTTATAAATGCTAATTAGTCCGATCTATAAACTCTGAATATTCATTTTAAACTAGTTTGATAGACAGTTACATGATGCAGTGATTGACAGCTGCCTGTGATGTTCTGTGCGTGTAGGCAGCAGGGGGCGGAGCTCAGGCTAATGAGGGCGTTGAGGAAGGGGGCGGAGTCAGGCGGAGAGCCCCTCCTATTGAGATGAAGCTGGTGCCGCTGGAGGGGTCAGATGTCACGCTCAACAGTGACATCACCGCACTGATGCTGCAGCAGCACGTCAACCGCAGGAAAGCAGCAGTTTACCTCACACTGACCGGCCTGCTGATCTTCACCACAGGTCACACACACACACGCAATCTTTCTCTCTCACACACAGACACACACTCGAACACACACTATCTCACTTAGCAGTTTCAGGGTGTTGTGTATGTAAGCAGTCAATTTGACTTACTAGTCCTGTAAGTGCAGTGTAGTGTGTGTTGGTCCCAGTGTTGGCTCTCGTTGGCAGCGTTCCTGCTGGGATACGTGGCGTTCCGCGGGATGTGTCATCTGTGCCGCAGCGAGCCGGACAACATTCCTCTGAGCGACGCACTGGGAGACGACCGGCAGCCTGAGGAAGTAGTTCTGTACATGGCGGAGCTCAGAGAGATGCTGAAGAAATACCTAAAGGAGGAGCGCATCGAGAACACACTCAGGTGGACACACACTGTGGACACACATAGCCAAATACAACTAGCCTAAAACTAGCCCACTGGCCAATCAAACTAGCTTACTGGCCAATCAAACTAGCTCAATACCAAAATCAAAACTAGCCAAATGATAAATCAACCTAGTCCAAAACTAGCTAAATAACCTGTCAAAACTAGCCTAGCAGCCAATCAAACTAACCTAAAACTAGCCCACCGACCAATCAAAACAAAGCCCAATGGCCACTTAAACTAGCACACTGGCCAATCAAACTAGCTTACTGGCCAATCAAACTAGCTCAATACCAAAATCAAAACTAGCCAAATGATAAATCAAACTAGTCCAAAACTAGCTAAATAACCTGTCAAAACTAGCCTAGCAGCCAATCAAACTAACCTAAAACTAGCCCACCGACCAATCAAAACAAAGCCCAATGGCCACTTAAACTAGCACACTGGCCAATCAAACTAGCTCAATAACCAATCAAACCAAGCCTATTGGCCATTCAAACTAGCCCAATGGCCACTCATTGATGTTCAAAAAAAGCCCAATGACCAATCAAACTAGCCTAAAACTATCCCAATGGCCACTCAAACTAGCCCAATGACCAACTCCAATGGCAACTCAAACTAGCCCAATGGTGACTCAAACTAGCCCAAAGACCAGTTCCAATGGCCACTCAAACTAGCCCAATGGCCACTGAAATTTGGCCAACGACCAATAAAACCAAGCCAAATGGCCACTCAAACTAGCCCAATAACCAATCATACCAGTTCCAATGGCCACTCAAACTAGCCCAATGACCAATTCCAATGGCAACTCAAACTAGCCCAATGGCCACTCATGGCTGTTCAAAAAAGCCCAATGACCAATCAAACTAGCCTAAAACTATCCCAATGGCCACTTTAACTAACCCAAGGGCCACTCAAACTAGCCCAATGACCAATTCCAATGGCAACTCAAACTAGCCCAAAGACCAATTCCAATGGCCACTCAAACTAGCCCAATGGCCACTGAAATTAGCCCAACACCCAATAAAACCAAGCCAAATGGCCACTCAAACTAGCCCAATAACCAATCATACCAGTTCCAATGGCCACTCAAACTAGCCCAATGGCCACTCAAACTAGCCTAATGTCCACTCAAATTAGCCAAAAGGTCAGTCAAATCAAGCCCAATGACCACTCAAACTAGACCAATGGCCCATTAAAAAAACCCAATGGCCAATCAAATTAGCCTAAAACTCGCTCAATGACCAAACAAAACTTGGCCAAATGGTATATGCAACTATTCCAAAACATAATGGCTAATCAAACGAAACTAAAACTAGCACAGTGGCTAGCCAAAAACTAGCCCAATTGCTAATCAAACCAGTGCAAAACTAGCCATATAGTCAGTCAAATTGAGCAAAATGGCACTTAAACTCGCCCAAAACTAGCCAAATAGCCAATTAATATCAGCTCAATTGCCGACTAGCCAAATGGCCACTCAAACGAGTCCAAAGCCAGCCAAAAAGGTTGTCTGAGTCAGCCTCAATCGAATCATGTAGCCAGTTAAAATTAGCCCAATAGACAAGCTAACTAAAAACGAGCCTCTTGACAATCAAACTAGCCCAATACTAGCCAAATATCAAGTCAGAACTAGCCTAATGGCCATTCAAACTAGCCCCAAATTGGCCAGATCAACAATGGAACTAGCAAACTACTTCAAAATTAGGCAAAGTTCCCTGCACACAACCCAAGCTAAAAACTAGTCAAATAGCCAGACAAAATTAGCCCATGGCCAATCAAACTAGCCCCAAATTAAGCAAATGACCAATCAAACTAGCCCAAAATTAGCCAAATGTCCAATCAAACTAGCACCAAAACCAGTCAATCAAACTAGCCAAATGTCAAATCAAATTGGCATAAAACTAGTCAATTAAAATAGCCCAATGACCAATCAAACTAGCCCAAAATTAGCCAAATGTTCAAAGTAACCCAACACTAGTCAATCAAACTAGCCCAGTGACCAATCAAATTAGCCCAAAATTAGCCAAATGTTCAAATTAGCCCAAAACTAGTCAATCAAACTAGCCCAGTGACCAATCAAATTAGCCCAAAATTAGCCAAATGTCTAATCAAACTAGCCCAAAACTAGTCAAACTAGCCCAATGACCAATGAAACTAGCCCAAAATTAGCCAAATGTTCAAATTAGCCCAAAACTAGTCAATCAAACTAGCCCAGTGACCAATCAAATAAGCCCAAAATTAGCCAAATGTCTAATCAAACTAGCCCAAAACTAGTCAAACTAGTCCAATGACCAATCAAACTAGCCCAAAACTAGTCAAACTAGTCCAATGACCAATCAAACTAGCCCAAAATTAGCCAAATGTTTAAATTAGCCCAAAACTAGTCAATCAAACTAGCCCTAAATCAACCAAATGGCTAATCAAATCAGCCCAAAACTAGCAAGATGGTACATGTTTTTGATGTTGTGTGTTTGTTTGGTTCAGGCGAGTGAGCCGGGAGTCTCATCCTCCGGGCTCATCTGAAGGAAACGCCATCGCCAGAGAAATCCTACAGAACCTGCAGAACCTAGGCATGGACCACACCTGGACCGACTCGCACTACGCCACACTGCAGTTTCCCTCCAGGTGAACAAACACTCACACTCTATGATCCTGTGCTGAAAATTCCACCAATCAGAGAGCACCATGAGATATATTTAGATCCACCCATTTTGGTAAAACGTCGCAAATGACATAACCAAGTGTCCCTAAGCTATCAACATGCTGTAATATTAGTAGGCAGAGCTTGATTCAGCCAATCAGATGCCTGTGATATGCTTGTAGGACGCATCGGAACACTCTGTGGTTGGTCGACTCTGAGGGGGCGGAGCTTGAAGAGATTTCATTGGACAGTGAGGGATACTGTGCCTATAGTGCCACTGGAACAGCCACGGTAACCATGGCAACTGCAGATATTTATAAAATATCTGTGTGTGTGTGTGTGTGTGTGTGTGTGTGTGTGTGTGTCTGTGTGTGTGTGTGTGTGTGTGTGTGTGTGTGTGTGTGTGTGTGTGTGTGTGTCAGTGTTTATTCTGGCACATATATGAAGTGGTCAGATACGCACTGTAGCTACTTACAAATGCTAGACCATCTATGAAAAGCATATATGTGTGTGTGTCTATGTATGTGTGTGTGCTTATTTTCATGTGTCTATATGTCTGTATGTGTGTGTATGTATACATACATACATATATATATATATATATATATATATATATATATATATATATATATGTCT